AATTTGGCAATATCAATAACAATTTTTTTTAAAGCGGGTGCCTAGTCCATCTAGGCACCTTCCTAGGTCTAGGCAATGCCTAGGCCTCCCCCCTAGATCTTAGAGTCGTCGAGGAAAGCATGGGCCACCTACACCATCTGCATCACTTAGGTTTTAGTCATGATTTCCTTCAGTGCAGCCTCCACGTCCTCCAACCTCTTACAAAATCCACTAACTATAAACATGTTGTCCACATCCTCCGACTTTTAGAAAACCTCATCTACCACCACATAAACAAAGAAAGAATTCCACCTAGGCGCATAGCAGCACTTAGCACATCAATATTTATTATCAATTATTATAACTAAATAAAATTATCTAGACCTTGCCTAGGCTCCAACCCAAGCGCCTAGGCTCTAGGCGCCGGGTCTGACACCTAGGCCGCCTAGCATTTTCTGTAACCTTGTTGATAACTAAGAGAGAACATTGGAAAATTTTGATGTTTGGCTTTAGTCTTTCTATAGGCAGCGTATTAATATATATACTTTAATTTTGAGTTCGACATCAAGATCAAACAAGCATTTATTGGTTCAGTTTTGTCATGTCTTTAAGATTCATAGGGTAACACATGCTGGTGTGCATCCCCGACCAAATATTATCCGCAAGTATCCTGTTCACAGCCTCAGTCGGATGGAATTCATCCCACCATACATGGACTGAAGCATCCTCACAAGCCATCTGTGGCCCCAAGCACATCCCCATGCCTCTGTACTTTCCAGCCCCACAGCAAGCCTCCGTTGTCGTCTCAAAGCCTGTAAATGGTTATAAATTCAAAATGTTTAAGGTATCACGCAACAAACTTCAACTGAAAGCAAAAACATTACAAATATATCAAATAATTTTATGGCTCTTTGGATACTCTTATTTCATTCAATTCCTCAAATAGGCTAATTCTAGTGTTGCGATGCAAAAGTATTCGAGAGAGGTTCATATTCCTATCGTTTCCTAGAGATGCAACGTTAGTGGAGCGCTCACAGATTTTAGAAATTCAAACATATGCTCTAAGTACTAGCTTGAAGAGAAATAATCACCAAGATAAATGGTTTCTGAGCTATGATGACTGATGAGGGAAGTCCGTGCAATCCAGCAATACTAAAAAAACCGATGAATTGCTCAAATATGTCATATGTTAGTCGTATATGTTATTGTGAATATCATCTTCTTTCAAGATTTGCAGTGTTCCGTAACACAATTCCGTAAGAAAAATTGTAGTTGATCTCAGATCACACAAACTTGGAACCAAGAACCTCTTTCATGATATTGTATAAAATAGTTTGAGATGGAGTTAAGAATCTAGGCTTTGCGGAAATCTAGAAATCCAGATAGACATAGTTATCAGACATAAAAGAATCAGGATTTAAGGACTTTTTGCTAATATGCACGAATTCAAGTGTCTGGTTTAGGAAATGTGCGATGTAGGTTATTATCTTTTATACACTAAATTTTTATTCACTGGTAAAGTCAAAAAGGATAAGGAAAGAAATGAATCTAAACATAGACATCAGGAAAAGACATACATCAACAAGTTAATGCTCCAAATCTATGAGCTAGGAGAGGCAAATATGCTAACTAGGTATACAAATCAGCAAGTAAAAGATATGAATCAATATACAAAGAAAATTTGAACAGAGAAAAAAGTGAACAGAGAATAAGTGCAGGTGTCGAGCCTGACCATAATGTTGGCGGTTATCCAATATGTCCATGGAACCTTGAAAGGCATCACAGAATGTGATCATGGCATCAGATAGGTTATGGTTGAGCTTATCCACTATCTCTTTCATCACAGAGTTGAAGTCCACCATAACCTTATTGATTTCATCTATGCACTCACCATCTTCACTTCCGTAGGAGTTCAAGTAGTGAGGAGCGCAGCCAACAGGAGCTAATCCCATAACCACAATTTTTCGTACATTCGCATTGTACAGGTTCTGCAGTCAGTTGGGGAAATTAACATGAAGTCCATGACAGGGTTTTGAATTTTAAAGAACTGCATGTCATATTTAAATTGGGTACAATTCACAAAACCCGTTTAAGTTTGGCTGATTTAATATAACCCCTAAACTGTAAAAATGTTGGAC